ACCAATCTGCCTTTGATTCACGATTGCACAAAAATGTTCTGAATGAAAGAATGACCCATTCTCTGAGATCTTATTCTTTACCCTATTAAAGCTCTGGGTTCCTAACTACCCGTGTATCTGATTGAGAAGAAAAAAATGTTTACTGTGATCACTCATGGATGGAATTCAAATGGGTGCATTAAAAAGCAGGATCAATTTCTGTTAGCTGTTGTGCCTCCCAGAGCCATTTTTCTTCAGGGTATACCTTAGATGATCAAGAACATTTCAGCCAGTAGCAAATGAATACATTACTGGGGGGAGGAGGGAAACCTCTGCTGGAAAGTACAAGTAAGGACCCAACCTCATACTGCAGTTAAGCTGACTTGGGAGTGGAGGGGAAGAAGGATATAATGGAAGCCCTTTGCATGTGAAAAGATCAAAGCTCTGCTTGTTTCAGCTAAGGTGCTGGAGACTTACATGGACAAGTTTCCTTGAAAGAGGTTGGAAGTGGTTTGCTACTGTGCTCTCGTCCAGCGCTCACCAGTTCTGCTGCTTAACTTTTTTGAACTGAGCCCAAATAAACTAGATGCTCTCACACAAACACAAGCAGAACCCTCACCTTTCATGAGCAGAATGCAAACTATGCCTCTGGCATCAGAAAGATATTGAAAGAAATGGCAGGGATTCAGCAGCATTTCTGTGCTGGTCAAGCAGTCAGATCAAAGACAAAGTAGGAGTAAGATAGAAGCACAAGATTTTTCCTTTTTCGTGCTGAATATAGCAGAACTGGGGTAAATGTCTATCACAAAACTGGTGTAAGGGGAAGCCTCCCATTTAGCTGAATAGAAAGGAAAAAGCAATGTAATTAAGAATCACTACTTTCAATGCCACAATGGTACAAATCAGCACTGGGTTTTAGCAATGCCAACTCAAAAAAAAAAAAAGAAGAAGAAGAAGAAGAAGAAGAGTGACCACCCTTTAAAAGTTCAGAAAGGAATCTCAGAAGAAAGGCACTTTGCTTAAAATGGTCTGTTTCCTGCATGCATGTGGAAATGCATAGCAGTATTTCTCTTTATAGAACATTAATGGCTAGCTGAATGTGGACCTTCGGTTCCCATCTTATTCAGGGACTTTGTGCTATGAAGAAGCAATGTGCGTACAGGGGATCTGCCAAAATATTGTATCAAGCAGTTTGTGGCAAGAGAAGGGGAAGTGTAGAGGAAGGGGAGTCCAAATAACCAAGGTGGATTGGTGATAAGAAGCTGGAAGTTAAGGAGGGCATTGCTTGTGCTGAATTCTTCTTGAAGGCTCTGCTGTCCTTGACTTTCAGTCATACTTGGTTTTTGCCCCAGCATTGGAAATCTGAGCTAATTTGTCAGACAAGCTTTTAATTCTGTTTGGATGAGACAAATTCTCATATGCCCAACTCAATCTTCTTGATTCCCGAACCAGCAATAGCCACCAGATGCAAAGAGAAGGTGCACCTTAGATCTGAACTCACACTGCTGACAACACAGAATATCCTAATCTAGGTTAGTAGCAGATAGAGAAGGGAGAATTGTATGCAGTCTTTGTTCTCATACACTCCTGTCCCACTGCTTCATAGCTCTCATAGTCAAAAATTACTCCTTATTTTGAACTTGCATCTCACTAACTGGTCTTTGCTTTATGCTCAGATTTCCAATGCAGAATTCCATACTCAAAAATGCTGTAACACTACCATATCTGACAGGTTCTGTTTTCAGATGGGAAAAGGTAAAATGTATTTCTCCATTTGTGGGTGAATTCAGCTGAGCAGGAGGCATTCTTCTTTCCCACTGCATCACATCAAATCTGCAACATGGGCACTAAGTCACATTTGGTGGACTCATGGTTATTTCATTGGATGTGTGGTGGGACTGTCCTTTTATGTTTCTTTGCCTTTTATAGCAGTGTAATCTTCCCGTTGTAGGCTAAAATGGGTGGTGTCTGGTAGACATGGCACCCTTACACATCCTTCTCTCTCTTCCTTGCATACAGGTAGTCTTTGACTTACAATTTGTCAAAATTATAATATGTCCCCCCCAAAAAAAAATATTTATGACCTAGTTCTGGAGTTATGATGCACCGCCCTATAGTCACATGACTGCATTTTGGGCATTTGGCAACCATTTTGGGCATTTATGGCCATTTGTAGTGCCCCACAGTCACACAACTTTGATTTATGACTTTCTGCTGGTAACCAATGTTTACTTCTGATTTAGTGGCATAGTGGTTAGAATGCAGTACTGCAGGCTACTTCTGCTGTCTCCCAATCCTCGCCAGCTCAAGGTTGACTCAGCCTTCCATCCTTCCGAGGTGGTAACATGAGGACCCAGATTGTGGAGGGGGGGTGGGCAACAGGCTGACTCTAAACTGCTTAAAGAGGGCTGTGAAGCAGTATATAAGTCTAAGTGCTATTGCTATTTTCAGCAAAAACACCCATAGTGAACAATGAGTTCACTCAGCAATCACAGTGTTCACTTACCAACTGAAGAATCTCTTAACAATGGTGATTCACTTAACAACTGCTACAAAAAGTGATCCTGAAATTGCTTCATAACCACCACAACATGCTGTTAGAAGTAAGTCTTCATCCTGGTTCATCCAAGCCGGGAATAAATAAGCAACATGGCGACTGCTTTGGGAAGATGGATACAGTTTATTGAAGAAGCAGAAAGAGCAGAGGAGAGAAAAAGGGCTGAGCACATGGGCAAGGGTTTTTTTATACCCTCTCTAGCCTTTTGTTTGGAAGTTTCCTGTTCCTGTGGCATGAACTTTGAGGCTATTTCCTGTGTCATGTATTCTGACCTGAGTTTAGGTGTGCCTCTATGGTATACTTGATGGTAATGGATTAGTCCTATTATATCCCAAAAGTCATATCCTGCTTCCCTGGGGCTGGGCTAATGACTCTTAAGAGTTTCTTTGTCTTCTTGAGTTCCCTGGCTCCAGCCTTCCTGATAGTTTTACGTTTGCATTTGTATAGGGCTGGCTCTTGCTTGGGGCAGAGAGATAGATTTGGGGCCAGGTTTGGTTTCTGCTTTTTAAAAATTGCTTTTAAAAATCCTTTTGGTGAAAAATATATTTTCCTGCCTTTTTAATATTTCCCACTCTGGGGCTCTGACTTTCCTCAGTACAATCATAATGGATAGATTCAATTATGGTTATAAGTCGAGGACTGCCTATATTGCAGAATTGCTTTGCTAGTGTTGCACTGAAAAACGAATAAGAATAAGGGAGGATCTCTTAAGGGAGGAGAATAAGAACTGATCTTCTAAAGTTGATTTGTATCTGTTTTGTTTCCTAAAACTTACAATATTGCCTACAATGCCTAAATCAGCAGTTCTCAACGTTTGTGTGACGACGACCCCGTCACACAAACGTTATGCGCATGCGCGGCGCGGCTGCGCATGGGGGCGGGGCCCCGTGCGCGGCGCGCATGCGCGGCGCCGCCCCCACGCACGGGGCGCATGCGCGGTGGCAGCCCCCGGAGGGGACAAAATGGCGAATCGCCGCGTTTGGCGACCCCACAAAAGAGGTCGATCGACCCCAAATGGGGTCGCGACCCATAGGTTGAGAACCGCTGGCCTAAATTGACAGGTACTTTGTTCTCTAGCATTTGCCCTCTATCATCTTGTATGTAGACCAGTGGTTCTCAACTTGTGGGTCGGGACCCCATTTGGGGTCGAACGACCATTTCATGGGGGTCGCCAAACAATGCAGTCCGCCATTTTTTCCCCCTTTTCCTTAGCTTTGCTACTCCCTTTTATTCTATTGGCTTTTGAAAGCCAATAGAATAGACTCTCTTGAATAGAGTCTAATTCTATTGGCTTTCAAAAGCCAATAGGAATTGTCCAGGCTGTCTCTGCCCTGCTGAACCCGCCAAAAGTCCCATTCTGCAAACGGTGCTGCATCAGTTGAGTAATCCTCGACTTACGACCGGTTGAGTAGTCCTCGACTTATGACCGGTTGGGGGTCGCGGCATTAAAAAGGTTGAGAACCACTGGTGCAGACGTTTTTAACCCAAAAGTATATGGAGCATGGCCATTTTGTCTAAATTTCCAGCAATTGAAATAATATCAAGAAAAAAATCCAATATTTATTTCTATTTCATATGCAGGCTAAATATGCATGTATAATACTAGGCAATCCGTATTATGGCAGCCCTGAACATTAAATATATACAGTGTTAATCATATAATGATTACCTATAACTATTACAAACTTGGACAATGACAAAGAAGTTGCTAATCATTGCATTGTGCCTTTCCCTGAAATTTCTGTGACTTTGCTTTACAAATTAACTGGGGTCTCCAGATTCTGACTGATAACATTCTTGGCTTTATCAGGTCATTTATTTTCTGCAATTGTTATAATTGATCTAAAATGTTTTCTGAAAGAAATATGAGAACAGTACTATACAAAATCTTTCAAAATCAGTTGTTCTAAGGGTTCTTTCATGTTAAATAACATTGGTATGTAGATGTAATTCCCTGCTATGAATTACACAGATACAGAATCATGTCACAGTCTCCTGCTAAGCTGCTGGCATGTATCCCCTTCGAATTAAAATGTTTGCTCATGTGCTTTATTGACACTTATTATTGGCCCTTCCAACTTGTCTTTGTCCTGGCACAAGGGCTTGTCAGAGAAATCAACAGGGTAATAAAACTGATTGTCTTAATTCCAGTCTAGTCCAAGTTTACGGACATACCATGTTTCCTGCTAGTCATTGAAATCCATGGGACAGTTCTTAGGTTCAAGTACTCACTGGAGAAGAGCCTAATGCTGGGAAAGATTGAGGCAATAGAAGAATGGGACAACAGAGAATGAGGTGGCTGGATGGAGTCACTGAAGCAGTAGGCGTGAGCTTAAATGGACTCCAGAACATGGTAGACGACAGGAAGTCCTGGAGGAACGTTGTCCATGGGGTCACAATGGGTCAGACACAACTTTGCAACTAACAACAATGACAAAATGGTCAATATTTACAGGGCAGATAAAATTTTAAGTCAAGCCATGGAAAGACTTGATAATTTATGGTTGCATTATGTATTTGGGTTTTTTTTGCCTAATCTGTGAATCATTCATTTGAAAGTTTTCATGTCTGAAGTGATACGGGTATTCCATTTAATGTTTGATCTTAAGTAGCTTGTTCACATATGCAAATTATTCCTTGATGTTTACATATAAAGACATGAAATTTAATGGCACAGTTCAGGTAATTAGTTATAATTACTATTGGTTTCATGGATGGTCCTTAAAGACATAGCATTTTTCTATTGAATTTTAGATCTGATCCTGTTATAAAGGTTTTGAAAACTTTGATTTGAAAACTTTGTTTTCAAATCAAATGAGCATCCTTAATTACCAGAGAAGTAGAGTGTGGAACTAGCACCAGAAATTTAGAAAGAGCTAATGTTTGACAGAGTAAGTAGGGAATCAGTTGAGGGAAGTTAGCCCAGAGAAGGAAATATTAAAAAGGGCAGGAAGGCAGTGCCAAGAAAAGGGCAAAGGGAGAACTGGGAGGGAAGTGAAGCTTTGGATTGACAGGCTTCTTTTTTTAAAAAAAACTGAATTGTTCTTTATACGCCTTGTTACGATTCAGGGTTTCTGCTGCTAGTACTGAGAAGGGTTGGGGTTTTTTTGCACACACTCGACAGGCGTCCTGCAAGCTGAGTCGTTTCTCCGGCCGCCGATTCCAGCCTCCAACCTGCAAGCCCGGCGCTCCGTCGAGGAAGATGTCAGTGTCCTGGGACAGCTTCCCTTCGTTGCCTCCCATTCCGGAGCAGAGGGAGAACCCGGCGCCTGCCTTTTCCTGGGAGAAGAGCGCCTACGAAGAAGTGGTTAGTCGTACCGCCAGGCTGGAGAACTCCGATTGCGAGTCCCTGGACAGCAGTTTGAGCTCCAAAGGAGATGCCCAGGAATATCTGGATGAAGTGTCCTTGCCAGACTTTGATTTGCTAAACGATCCTGAGGATGAGCTCTTGTGCGCCAATCTCATGAAGCTCATCCAGGTCACTCTGAACAAAGCCAAGCTCTACTCCAACCGTCCCTCCCGACTCGTCATGCCCAATGAGCTGGTCGCCCAAGTGAGCAAGGACCTACTTCACCTGGCTTACCGAGAGCCCTGTGGCTTGAGGGGAGCCCTCATCAATCTCTGTGTGGAACAAGGAAAGGCGTGCCACAGCGTGGAGCAGATTGCTGTGGATCCAAAGCTGGTGCCTATTTTCCAGCTGACTCTTGTTCTGAGACTGGATTCCCGCCTGTGGCCTAAAATCCAGGGACTCTTTAGCTCCGGTTCTGCTTTCTCTCCAGGCTTCAGTCAGTCCCTGAAGCTCAGCACAGGCTTTAGGGTGATCAAAATAAAGTTGTATAGCTCTGAGCAATTGCTCATAGAGGAATGTTAAAAGTATCCTCTTAGGTTGGGCCAACTGAGCATTTACTCTTAAGTTGGGGCCATTCCCAGCCCAAACTGGGGAGGTATGTTACCTAAAGGGCTATGGAGCATAAGCAGGAAAATATAATTTTCACCAAAAAGATTTTTAAAAGTAATTTTTGAAAAGCAGAAACCAAACCTGGCCCCAAATCTATCTCTCTGCCCCAAGTAAGAGCTAGCCCCATACAAATGCAGATGTAAAACCATCAGAAAGTTGAAGCCAGAGCACTCAAGAAGACAAAGAGAAAATCTGCATGCCCCACCCAAACTCTAGGAGTCATTAGCCCCATCACCTGGGAAGCAGGATATGATAATAGGATTAAACCACAGATACAGTATCAAGGCCTAGAAAAACACTCAGAAATAGCCTCAAGGTTCATGCCACAGGAACAGGAAACTATTCCAAACAAGGCTAGAGGGGGTATAAAAACCTACTGCCCATGTGCTCAACTCCTCTTTCCTCTCCTCTGCTCTTTATTGCAAGGACCATCTGTCTGCTTCTTCAATAAACTGTAACCTTCCCAAAGCAGTCGCCATGTTGCTTATTTATCCCCGGCTTGGATGAACCAGGATGAAGACTTACTTCTGACACAATCAATGGTTCTAAGGCTACAGAGAATTATCAGCATTTCTCAGCTGCCTCTGAGAACTGCCAAAAGACTAGTGAAGTGTTGATTATTTTGTCAAGGTAGGAAGGAAAAGCCTGTGATTTACTGCTTTATGGTGTTATAAAGGCTAACAGCAGTGTAGTATTGGTGGAAAACAATTTGCACATAGTATGTTCAAATTTCAGGGCATGCTTAGTGACAGTAAATGCAGCACAGTATCCTGACTGTGCTGCATAGAGCATCAACTCAGCTCTGGGTAATTAATGGCCTTAAAAGATTTTGGCTTTTTGCTGGTATTAACTGACTCAGTGTGGTATGTTTCCAAGGCACTTTGCCTATAAAATTGCTCACATCTGCTTTAAATTGGACTCCATATTTTGTTGCATAATCATCTTGGAAGATATCTAAAATTTCAGTCCAATCTAGTTGAATTTTAGTTGTTCAGGCTGAGAATTCTTACAGCTGTCTTCTGTGCAACCTCTCCTTTAAATCCTTGCCCACTGAAACTAATTGCAGCTTGACAGATCGTATTTATTAGAAAGTTGATCATCCCCAAATATTGGTGCTCTTGAGCTAAAAGAAAAATAGCCAATTAACTATTTTCATTCCCTAAGCCAGGGGTGTCAAACTGCCGGCCCATGGGCCGGATGCGTCATGGCGAAACCGCGCCCACCCCATTGTTGGCAATGGAAAAAAAAGTCACAATATGTTGCGACATGTCATGTGATGTTGTGAGTTTGACACCCCTGTCCTAAACCGTCATTTTCTCTTAGTGTCAGATCCAAGTTAGCAAGGTAGGAGGACAGAAGGCTAGAAACAGAAGAACATCCTTCTGCCTTATCCAAAAACTCCCTATCTTCTCTAATGAGCCTCAGCATGGACAGGCATGTTTCCACTTTCTTTTCCAGCAGCACAATGAGTTTGCACTTGGTGCAGGTGAACGAGGGATCTGCTGAGTCAGGAACACAAACATAGTGCCTCTTCTGCATATCACCAGAGGCAAGACGTATATCCACATCCAGGAATCCCCCAAAGATTGTGCAGCTCCAGACAGCTCCTCCCTTCAAACACTCTCTTATATAGACACTAATGGGACCCCCCCAAAAAATTATCAGATGAAGTTCATCTTCTGTCGCTTGCAGTGTCCTTCTGCTTACTTGCCAGAAAGCCTACTGTGCAAATTATTTCAGCAAATTAGTACTTAGTGCTTCTCAAAAAAATACTTGCATTTGATAGTTGTATTGTATACATCTTGTACCTAGGATTTGTAATGACCTGATGCTTTACTTAAAAGTCTAAAACTTTAAGGTTTAAAGAAGTCATTTGAGGAAATAGAAGGTTTGAGAACAATATACAAATAATTGTTTGGCTATTAAGCTGCTGCTTAATGTTACGTCTGCCTGCAATACATCTCAGATTTTCCACAATCTATGAATGAGGAAGTAGACTGCTTTGTGTGACTAAGTCCTAGTTGAATTAAGATGGGGTATTCCTGTCTCATAAATATCCTCCTGGGGCTTGGTGTGGCAGTGGCCACAAGCTTGAGATGCCCTTTAGAAGCTAAAAGATATCTGAGTGTGGGTTGAGGGTTGAGCTATGAGACAACTTGGGAATTCATCCCCATCATGACAACCATAGGTTTGTCCCATGCCATCATGGCCACAACTCATATGGGTAGCCACACATTAGGCCTTGTTTTTGTTTCAGAACAGATGGCACGTGATTGGAATATGGTGGAAATTAACACCTGCCTTTTTCATGGGCAGATGTTCTTTGACTGCTGTTGGGATGAAAAGGGCTACGGATCTTGTTGTGTTTTCCGTTCGTTGGGAATTGACGAAGACACATGGTGAAACAACAAGCTCTTTATTACTCTTCTCCTACAACAAAGCAAAAGCAGAAGACACGCAGGCCTTTTATGGGGCCTGAGACTGACCATTTTTGCGCCTTGCACATGCGCACAATGCTAGCGCCACCCTGTCTGGTCCCAGGCAACTTTTGGTTTGCCCGGGACTGTTTGAGCCTGATTTCTTCTCTAATGCATGATAGAAATCTAAAATGCGCCCTTCCTTGAGGGAGGCCAGAGTGTGGCTTACAACAGGCACTGGATATGCATGCTGTTGCAACACTTTATTCAATGTGCACTTATAGTCTGCACATATGTGGACTTCTCCATTAGCCTTTAGAGGCGTTACTATTGGGGTTTCCCATGGACTAGAGTCCAAAGGTTCTAAGATGCCCTGCTGGAGCACTTTGTCCAGGTCTGCATCTATCTTGCTTTTGAGGGCTAAAGGCACCCTTCTAGGCTTGACCCTGATGGGCATGATAGTTGATTCTAAATGTAATGCAATGGGAGGCCCCTTGTAGGATCCTAGCTCTGAACTAAGCACATCAGCAAACTCCTTGCAGACTTCTGCAAGGCCCAACGTTTGCAAGTTGTGAAGCCCAGTCACTTGGATTCCTAGAGCCTTGAACCAATTGAGTCCAATAAGACTCGTGTGTTCACCCCCAACTACCACCACATCCAGGAAACCCTCAAAATCCTTACACTGCACCTTGAGCGTGGCCTCCCCCTTCACACTGACTTTGGAATTCTGAAAATCAGTGAGTATTAAATTCAATGGCCTGAGTTTAACTTGAAGGCCACTACTGCTGCAAATCCTTTTGAAGGTGCTAAGTGAAATAATTGATAGAGCGGACCCTGTGTCCAACTCCATCAATAAAGGAACCCCTTGTAACTTCACGTCAATGTGAAGTTTTTTCTTGAGGGGCTTGTGTGTCCCTGTTCTCAGAATACTCCTGCGCGATGCGCAGAAACCCACCCTTTGTTGGCTGGGGACCCTGGTACCTTTCTGAAGCAATTCTTCCCAAGGTTGGACCTGGCGACCCAAACAGACGGAGGCAATGTGGCCTTGCCTGCCACATGCCCGGCAAATGGCAGAGTGAAATCTGTTATCAGCTCACTTGTGGTGTCCTCCACACTGAAGCACTGAAGAGATGCTGGGGCCTTGTCTAGACGTCCCTTCGGCCTTCTTTCTGCTGGCTGGTGAAGTCTGTCCACCTCCTCTTCAGGATCTGCTTCTGAATCTTCTCGAGCATCCTCTTGATGGACGGTCACGGTGGCTGGAGGGTTCCTGGCAAGCCGCAAAGCCTTCACAGCACCGCCTGCTGCTTCCTCAGCTGCAACCTCTCTTAAAGCATCTTGGAACGATACCTCTTCTTTTGCAAAGATCTTCTGTTGCAGGTATCTACTTTGTAAGCCACACACGAAGCGATCTCACAGCCTCTCTTCCAGATCCTTGAATTCACAAGGCCTGGCCGCTTGTCTTAAGGCAGCAATGAATTCTGCAGCAGATTCACCCGGCCTCTGGTCTCTCTGCTCGAACGTGTGCCTCCAAGCGATGACAGATAATTTAGGCTGAAAATGTTCCTTCAGCATCTTCAAGTCAGCGTACGTTACTGACTCCAGAAGTGCAGGGGCCACCAGATTTTCCACGATGTCAAAAGCTTCCTGTCCGCAGGCACATAGAAGAGTTGCTTACTTCAGGCCGTTTTCCCTGATTTGTTTTACTCTAAAGTAGTTCTCCACCCTTGCTATGTATGAATTCAGTCTCTCTGGGTGGGAGACATCAAAGTCAGTCAAGGGACCAATTTTCGACATTGTAAACTTTTACGGCCTTTGCTAATTGCCTCCTCTAGTTGGGGAAAGAGTTCTTTTGCTGAGCTCACCTCCAGCGATGCTGTACTGGCAGGCTGAGTTGCGAATGCAGGACGCCATCTTCCCAGTCTTCAGGACTTCCTTGGTGAGTCCTATTTGTTTTTCTTGCTTGCAGGGATCCCACCTTCGTCGGCAGTGTTGTGTTTTCCGTTCGTTGGCAATTGACGAAGACACATTGTGAAACAACAAACTCTTTATTAATCTTCTCCTACAACCAAGCAAAAGGCATGCAGGCCTTTCATAGGGCCTGAGATCCAGACAGTGTGAACCAATAGGAACTGACCATTTTCGCGCCTTGCTCATGCGCACAATGCTGGCGCCACCCTGTCTGGTCCTGGGCAGCTTTTGGTTTGCCCAGGACCGTTTGCAACAATTCTGAGCCTGCTTTCTGCTCTTAGCAGGCTCAGGACACAACAGATCTCTAGAGGAAGGATGGATCTATTTGACTGCTGATGGGCATATAAGCCTGTTGGAGTTACATATTAGTGTCAGTAACAAAAGGAATAAAACAAATGCATTTAAATAAGATGTATAGGAATATTCCACAGTTCAATTTTCCTGTATTTCAAAGATAAAAAATGGAGACCCTTGGGGAATAAAACAAAGGTTTTCTCTTGATTTTTTTTCAGCCTCTTTCTCTCCCCACCTCCTCCCCTTCCCATCCCAGGAGAGTGGTTTCTTTTGAGTGAACATAAACTGAATTTTGCTATGCCTATGCTTAGAATTGTAGTTTCAATTACGTGTAACAAAAACATTGCAAAGTGCAAATATATTTTCATGCCACGATTGGCATTGGTTTCAAAATAAGCACGATTAAC